CCGTCGTACACGACGTTGTAGTTGTTATTATTATTATTATTATTATTGTTATCATATTATAAAATATTTACCGTTTGACATATGAGACGGAAAACCCAACGACCTACAACTGTTGTCTCCGTCTCACAATAATGCACAACATGGCAAACTTTAAGTTCAGATTTATCCATTTTAACGCTGAAAGTTTTAATGATATTGTAAATCGGCCTACTATATCAAATGGTATCATAATCTATGGCCCCACGTAGGTTTTTTTTTACATTTTAATTTTAAGCGAGTTTTGAGTCCTTTAAAACTGTAAGTTTTTTATTAATTTAAAAATGCTCATAACTTGGATAGAAAATGAAACAAAAAATAAACACTACGCAGGGCAATTATATAAGTAACAGAGTCAAATATTTTGAACCTAAGACTTGCATAATATTATGTTGTGCGTTTGTAAGACAGATCTACTACAAATATGAGTGTATGACCATGACATTCCCTTAAAGAGAAACGAATCCGGAAACAAAAAAATTATCTAAGAAAATTTGTAAACCCACACGATTTCGACTTTTAATAATTACCCACTATTGTTATTTTTTTGCACTTTATGAAAAGTTAGCAGAAACTACGTTAGAGCACTGCGAGGAAAACAATGTATCTACTTTGATTTCTTTATTTCAAAATTAATTTATTCTATAGTGTTACAATTAATAATTATTAATATAGGTACTCATCAGTACATATTATTATTATTACTATTATAATATATATATATACTATTTTTTGAAAACCTTAGACTATTCTATTTTTAAATTTTATTATTATATAAATGCTATTGAGTTCGTAATATTTATAGCGGGTTACTATTATTATATTATTATTATTATTGTTGGTATTTTGTATTTAAATATATTAATTATAAAATATATTTAAAGTAATCGCCTTATTCGAAATTTTAGATTTAAGCCTTGATTACGATTATTTTCGTCGTGAACTTATGCAGGGCCGGCGTTAGCTAATATTTGTGAGGGGTCGTGGTTAACGAAAGTGACGACTGAAATTCATGCATAATTATAAAACACTAAAAAAAAAATTTTTGCGACACTCAAAATGTCAAGTTTTTGTTTCGACAATTCCATACTATGTTGGAGCAAAAACTTATTATAAAATCTTGAGAAATGCATGTTTTTATACATATTTTTCCATATTCACTATTAATTATGATATTGTTCCAGAGTAAAAATTCGTCAAACCGTTTATAAATAAAACAATAAAACTAATAATGTTTTTGTATCATATGATAAAGATTAACGAATAAACAAAATCCTAGAGCCATTTTTCAATAATTTAAATCACTATTTACCAACAATAATATTGCCTTTTTAGTTTTTACTTAGAGTTTTTGATCGAAGCTGATTTTTTAGTATCTCTATCTATTTTGATTTTAAATGAGCATCATAAAACAATAACTATTTTTTATAACAAATAAGTATTATAATATATTACATTTTACAAAATATCATTTAACATTTTCAGAATGTGCATTCCAAAAAAATACAAAAATTATAAAAAATGTATATATATAATAATTATATATTACACCGAAATTTTTCTTTCTTTTAACGATGCCATATTTGTCATTTCAATATTATCTAAAATGTCTTTCTCAGAATCAAGTATAATCAAATCATTTAATCGGGAACTGGTCATAGTAGTTCTTAAATGGTTTTTGATTAATTTTAGCTTGCTGAAACATCGTTCATTTGAAGCTGTGGTAACTGGTGATGTTAATGCCAAACCCAAACGACAAAGTTCATTAGCCATAGGAATTAAAGTCCTTAATTTGTTGGCTACATCCATGATATTAGCCAATGATTTCAAATTTTCAGTTTGTAGCCTTAATATATTTATCTCACATAATGCGCTATTGAAATCAGTTGCATTAGACATGTCACAGTTTTTTTGGAAATAAGGAAAATGCTTTTTCTACATCTTTTACAGTTATATTTGAACTTATAGGCACCGATAATCATAATACTTTAAAAAGTGGTTGAATACAAACCAGACAAGATTTCAAATCTTCTGATGACAAACCGATTAATGTGTCCAGAACTTGAAGAAATTCTTTTCTGTAAAAGTCTTCATAAGTTAAGTTTACATGTGATTGTTGATTTGAATCATTTTTTTTTGGTTTTAATCTTTTTCTATGATGTTGATTAAAATCCCCATCAAAATCAATATCTAGTTTTAGACAAAATGATTTAGCACTGGGTATAAGTTCATTAATCAGTGTACTATTGTTTCTAGTTTCTGTAAGTGATTTAATTGAACTATCAATTAATATCAGTGCGTCTACTATATTAAGATCTTTGGTTTCCAATGTTTCAGTCAATATTTTCATTTGGTACATTATATGGTTCATAAAGTACATACAAATGATAAAATCAATTGATAAACATTTCTTCTCAAGTCCTTATGCTTGAATTCTAGTTTTTTTATCAATAGTTGATTTTGTAGATATTTCATGTAAAACTGAAACAATTTCTTCAAAAGACAGCCAAACCGCCCGTATAGATTCTGCCCTGGCAGTCCATCGGGTCTTAGACAAATTTCGAAGCTTCAAAGATCCTTCAATTTTTGATAGAGCTTTATCTAAAGTTATACTTCGTTTAGTACTTGAACAGAAAAATACATATAAACTTTCTAAGGTGAAAAATAGGTCACAAACTATAACGATAACGGTGAGTGGTAAATACGTCCTGCCAACTGCCAAACGGTGACCGTTTGCTATCCGGGTTTCAGGAAATACGTTTATTTAGCCCGTATACATGACGTATAAAATACGTATTACATGACGTTTTTAATACAATAAATGTGAAATGTCGATATTAATTTTAGCTGCGGAGACACGGGCAAAAAATCATCACATTGGCCCATTAAACTTAAAATAGAACATATTTTTCCCACTATGGTTTATTTTCATTTTTTTTTTTTTTTGTATTTTTATATTTTATACATATTTTTGTTGTATTTGACAATGTGTTAATGTGCCGACTGAAATATTAGGTTAAATGAGTGAGGGGTCGTGACGACCCCTTAAACCCCCCCTCGCTCCGGCCCTGAACTTATAAACACCAATACCACTGTTGTTACTATTTTACCGAGCTATTACTGTGATTTAATTTTGTTCTATAACCTCTGTCCGCCTTAACTATAACATCTTCTAAAAGTGACTTATGAATGTACATACATTTTATTTACATAATTTATATCAATTTTTTTTTCTAAAGCACTTCCCGTTTGTATATAAATATATATCCGTATATAATAAATAAAATCGTTCAAACTTTGAGTTACAAAAATGCTGGAAATGATAATATTATTGTAATATAAATTATAATAATATGAACCTCACAATTTTTGAAAACGTAAACTTGAACGGCTCTGTGTGTAATACATAACAATTTAATCAAAAAATTAGACTACCTACCTACGTATATAAATTATTATTATTATTATTATTATTATTATTATTACTATTACTATTATTAAGTACTGTTGTTATTCGGTAGCTTTCGGGGTACCTACCATTTTTTTTGTTGATTTTGGTTTACACATTATACTAAATGTTTGTAATGTTATTTTTATTGTTATTATTCGACAATCAAAACGAATATTATTTAGAATTATTGATAATAGCGGTAGCGATTTTTGTTTAGTTTTACGAAAGTTTATTATATTATTATACAATATTGTTCTTTTTAAAAAAAAAATTATATTCACTTTGATAAAATACTTTTATTATTAGTTATAATTATATAAAATTATGATGTACACGATAATATATAATATATAATATGGTATTCATGTCCATGCATACCTAACATTGATGTGAACGGTAAATCTTAGACAGTTTACAACTTTAAAATTACCGTTTGTTATATAAAACCCCAATTTAATACCTAATGATATTTATGTTTTACTTGGATTAACATTGTTTTATCAATTACTTAGGTACCTATACGCAATATATTATATTTTATATATGCCTAATTAATAATTATATGATATTATATTACTTATATAGTCGTCTACTGACAATTTGACAAAAATTGCACTTGTCATTTCGTAGATATTATTCTTCGGAACCTATAGGTACTCACCCAGATATAAGTTAATAAATTAATTTTCCTTAAAATCAGCAGTGGTACTGATGCTGAATCTGAAAAAAAATAACATTGCTCACAAATAGGGATATTTTTCACAAACAAATTTCCCGGCCAAATTTCTCTAATAAAATGTGTTGCCCATGTGCGGTTGTGCACAAAATTGGACAGACACAAAATACAAACATATTAACTATTAGGTCTGTACCCTACTTATTTCTCTTATTGGGGTGATGGGCATCCCCAGTAAAATACCATTGAGGACGGCATTTTTGGTAACACGATTGAGAACGCTCGAAATTTTTTTTTTTTCCAACGTTGCCAAATTTAATCGAATGATAATTTGAGCACCATAATTGGTTAATTCCTATTGAAATAATCCAGAAATATATTATATGTTGTTATTAAAATTATAATTGAAATTCGATCAGAAACAATATTGAAAAGAGCTACGATAGTTAGAGTCAAGGTACTAAGAATAAATTATATTTTTATGCCCTAGGTTAAGGGTTAAGTAGATTTGGGGGCTTAGATGATCTGAAAATGTTGGTAATTATTAATGATCTA